GAGATGTGAGCTTGGGAGGCATTCGAGCAAAAGTGCTGGCTCCCTTGGGTGGACGACAGCGCGCAGCCGCAACGATGCTTGTGCCGATGTGTATGTGAATGATGATGGTAATGCTGCTGCTGCTGTTGCTGCGGCGTTGGCGTTGGCGTAGCATCTTTGTGCTGCTTGTCCGTCTGCTGCTGTTGCAAGCGGTCCGATATTGAAACACTGATTGAGATCGGCATCTGGCACATGGGGAGCAGGTTGCGCGACCGCGACGTGCACGATTCCATAGTTGAAGTACTGATCGCTTGGGAAACATTCAATGGTGCCGCATGATCTTTCTCCCGTTCATCCTGGTGCTGCTGCTTCTGCAGTTCGCTCTGTAGGTTTGGTAGGCTGCTGCTCTTGCGTACACTGCAGTGCGGCAAATGGCGTGTAAGGACGATGGTTTCCCCGCCGCCATTGTTATTGTTGCCCGACGGATACCTGCGAGCGGGCGAAGGAAGGAGAAGCGAGCGTCTTTACAAGCGCAGACACATCGAGTATTTCTTATTACAATTTGTTTGGTGAAAGGTATGCGGATTGGTTTTTTCAAGCACAACTAAGCATTTAAAAACCCATAAGTTCCGATAACCCCGTCGCAATTGCTGAGCTACCTGAGGGCGCCTGCACGCCGGACGAGTAAATTTCAGGGTTTTCTTTATAATACCGTAATAAATGATCCTAGATAGTCTGGTTATGTGTTTTCTGACGGAGGAGCCTACGCAACACGAGCCAACTAAGAGAATCAAGAGATCGGCTCCAGTTGAGATCTGCCCATTTTGCATGTTCTCGCAAATAAGAGCCAATTTGAATGGCACGAAAATGAAACTTAATTGAACTCAATTGAAATGACCTCATAGCTGCACTCGAACCAGCAAAATAAGAGAAAAGAGGGCTACTCAGATATCCGCAATGCGATGCTCGACAAGTGCTCAAAAACCAATCTGCGGGAATGTGCGTCAGTGTTTGTGTGCATGTTGATGTGTATTTGGATTTGGATTCTGCTTACCGCTGCAATTGAGCCTTTGCCTGGGTCTTTGGTGACTTGCATTGGAACTGAAAAGATTGGGCAGAGCGTGACATGGATACCTCCAGGGCCTTGTTGCGCTTCACAATATCCTCCAAGTTGCCATGCAAGTTGATGTTTTGTTTGTTTCTCACGGCAATGTCGCAGGGCTCCGCTAGAACGCAAAACAGATATTAATGCAATCAATGAATTTACAGAATTAGATCAAATAAGGCTTACCATAGAAACTCTCGTCCGAATAGAGGACGCTGCCCTCGAAGGCAATCGTGTAGTTGTCCTTGTTGCAGGTAAGTATGATATCACCTTCGTCTGGATAGGCATCCATGTCCAGCGAGTCGACAGAAATGTGCGACTCCTTGACCGGCGAGAAAAGCAGCTCGGATTTGCAAAATGAGTTGTCGATGAGCTCGTTGGTCGAAGTTGTCGACGTCTGCGACATGTTGTGTGCCATATGTTGCACATTGGTCATCATGTTACTCTGCTGCAGCTGAAGCTGCATCTGTTGTTGCTGCTGCTGTTGTTGTTGCTGTTGCTGCTGGTACAGCAGCGACTGTTGCAGGCGACTATTGGCGCCGCCCAGGCTTTTGCAGTAGGCTGGCAGCTGCGAGAGTAAGGAGTGTATGTCCTCGGCCCTGAAACTCTCCATGTCTACCTCAGCCAGATTGGCGTCCAAGTTCTTCAGATCCTCGTAGTAAATTAAATCGCCCATCGCATTATAAGATGCCGAAAGCGAGCTCAACACGCTGCGCTGCATACCGCCGCAGCCATCCCGATAGCCATAGTCAAGGAACCACTGATAATCGGAATTGTCGTGAGTAAAATCTTGTGACGAAGCCAGCGAGCAGTTGAGATTGTTGCCACCTCCACCGCCATTACCAACACCAACACCAACACCACCACCACAAAGCAAACCACCTACCCCATGTTGTTGTTGCTGCTGCTGCTGAACCAGCTCGTTGCTGCGCGCGCCAGGTGTTGTCGCATTGCTGTTGTAGTCGGACTCGGGCGTAGCTATATTAGTTGCTGCCATTGCGTTACTTTTCAAAAAGTTGTTGTTATCAGCCTCAGCGCTGGGATCGTCACAGAGGAAAAGGCTGTCGCTGGCGCTGATGTTGCTCACCTGTTCATTCAATATGATGCTGCGCAGCGCGCTGTTATAGCGATCCAAATTACTCAGGACAATGGCCACATTCTGCTTAAGGCTCTCTTCGCTCAGTTCTTCGGCGGCATCCGCATCGGCGTCCTCATCGCGCAGTTGTAGCTGTTGTAACTGTTGCTGCTGGCAAAACTGCAAATGTTGTTGCTGCAGCAGCCGGTCGTTAAGTTGTTGCTGCTTGTATTGCTTGCCGGACGTCACATGCCCAAGGGCGAACAGCGAGTTATTGGGGCTGTTCAAGGGGATTCTATAGTGCTGCTGCGGGGATTGTGGGGCCGACCCTAGGCCGCTGACGCTGGCCAAAGCTGTGCTGTATCCGGCCGTGTTGCCGTTGTATGGCTTACCGCCGTCAATCAACGATTGCTGCTGATGCTGAGCGCTGTGTTGCTGCTTGGCGAAACGTGAGTTCGGATGAGGATGCGAGCTGAGGTTAGTTTTGGTATATGGTTCGTGAGTGGGTGAGCTTTGTGGCGATTTGTTTTTTGATGAGAATTGTTGATGTTCGATATGGCGGTTAATGTTGCTGATGTTGTTGTTGTCGTTTATTGTTGAGATGTCGGTCATACCACGTCGAAATTGTAGTCCTGCAAGAGAAAGGAAAATTAAATAGGAAATTAATAAATTGCTACATTTAGTAAATACGGCTGCAGACCACTTTAATAGGCAGTTAATCTAAGATTTATGTAGTCCCAATTCTAACTGAATTAAAAACTTATATGTTTTTTAATTAGCTTTTTGATCACATCAGATGGAACTAAGTGGGCTACTACCTTTAAAAGACACAGTAAGCATTTGAATAATTTTTATATATATTTTACGAGTCAGCTTCCTATGAACCTTGACATGGGCATTTGCATCTACCACGGGCCAGAAACGCCCTGTCAGTACAAAAAATCTATATTTCTTTAATATGTAGTCATGTTTTAGGGCATGCAACTAACGCAAGGTCACAGAAAGCAGAACATTTGCAGCCCATACTTATTAAAATTCAAGGTGTGAGCAGTCAAAGGACATGTGTGCTCCTGGAATGCAGCAACAGCAAATGGCGATGAGATAGGGTAATTCAGTTTCAATATGAAATTGCAGTGCATTTTTATGAATTTTAATATTTTGCCGGTTTCTTCTTACTATCTTTATAAGCAAACTAATGCAACATATTTATGTCATATGGTGACATACTGTGCCAACGCAAGATTTCAGACAAATAAAATTCTGTAATTCTGTATTAAATAAATTGCAAGATAAAGCATAATGTGCAACAGCCTCTGAAGGGATTGGGAAACGCCCTCTGGCGTGACATTAAAATCAATTAAGAGTCAATTTAAGAAAGTCACAATCTTAAAGTAAATTCATGCAAGAAATGATATTGGCTGTGCTTTTTGTGACAGCAATTATTTGAAGAGGCGCTAGGCAAGTTTAAAGGCAAACAAACAACTTAAGGTTTACCTAAATACTAAGAGTTAATGTTGCCCACCTTGAGGCACGTTGATGCCAACGCCAACACAATTGTTATTGTTGTTATTATTATTTATGTTATGGCTTTTGTTTTCATTGTTGTTGCTCAAATAGTTCCTCAAGTTTTTGTTGTTGTTGTTGTTGTTTTGATTGATTCGCTGTTGCATCAAATACTCTTGATTGCAGGTCAGACCATGAGCCGTTGTTGTTGTTCTTGTTCTTGGCGGCGGCATTAAGCCCTGTTCTCGTAGCTGCTGCTGGAGGCGGCGTTGCTGCATCAACTGTTGCTGCAGCAATCGCAATTGTTGCTGCTGCATGCATTGGTAATAACGGATCTGCTGCAACTGCCGGGGGGTCAGCCCGTTGTTGCCGTTGTGTTGTTGCTGCTGCCGCTGCTGTGGGACATAGTAATTTTCCTTGGAGGAGCTGTTGCTATCGCAGCCGCTGCTCGTGCTGCTACTGTTGCTTGTATCAGCAACATGTTGCCAGCAGGTCGTGTTGCCGTTGGCATCAGAGTTGGAGTTGCTGAGGGGGCATTCAACATCAGCGTTGGCACAGGCCGTGCAGCGTTGGCGCCTCTGCTCTTTGGAAATGTCTACGAATCTCATGATGAATGCAAGCAAAAGCAACAACATCGAACGGCAAAAGTGCTCATCCAATGTTGCTGCAACAAATGTTGCCTGCTGCCTGTCGCTGGCGCAGATTTTATTTTTGGTTGTCGACTGTTGCGACCAACGCAGTCCGAAGGCTATGGCTAGGGCCCGGCCCGATGGGGATCGAACTGTTTTGATCGCTTGTATTTTTTGTTCACTTGTTGCCAAGTTCTTGGCGGTTGTTATTTTTAGTTATGGTCTCTTTTTAAGGGTTCACTCCATTGATCGGTTCCACATTGGCTTTTTAAGTTTTTTTCCGTTTAGTTTGCGATCACTCGCTTTGCTATACATTTCGTACTGCACTTTTCATGATTTTGATTTCTTCATACCATTTTTTCTATTTTTAAATATTGTTTTGCTTTATGCGTAAGTTTCTCTGTAAGATACGAAGCACTATTTATGTGTGTCTGTAATTTTGAGTACAGTCACAACATTTTATAAATACACACATATTTATATATTTTTTGTTTTTCAGTTGTATTTTTTTTTTTTTTTCGTTCAAAAGAGAGCGTATTAATGTAATATATGAGTTTTCTGCATCAGAGTCTCAACAGCAGACGAGTAATTTAGCTTTGGGAAACTATTATTTTGCCGCGCAGCAATTAAGAGTCGAAAATAAACTTTTGAACCCGACAAAGTAATAAACAACGCTGCCTACAAAGTTTTTCCCTACAAACTAGGCCGCGAAATGCGGCTGAGAATGAAAAATTTACAAGTAGTTTAGGCAACTGCCAACTGGGTCCTTTGTTTACTACTTTGGCCACTTGTAAAACGGAAATGGAAAGGTGCTTCACTTGTTTTCACCGTGCCTGTGGCCATTACCAGCAGTATCGTTTGCAGTGCCCAAATCTATTTAAAATCTGACAGACAATTACGTTTCATTTTCCTTATATTCCGCAATCACGGCCGCTTGCTTTTCAAACAATTTATATGAATATACGTGAATAAATATACTCAATGTCGCAAAACCGTGCCAACAAACATGCACATCAGGTTCGGCCAGGTGTTTGACATTTTTGTTTACTGACATAAGCGAAAGGTAGAATATACATAGAAATAGATACAAGACAGCCAGTATCTGGCATAAAATTGCATTAAATTAAAGTAGCCAGGCATTAACGCCTTAGACGCTCCCAGTTTGGTTGGCTTTTGGAAATTGCCAAACAAAGGAAAATGCTCGGCCCCACGAAAAACTTAACGTTACTCAAAGACGTCCATTTCCAACATGAAATCCAAAAGAGAAAGCGAAGCAAGGAAAACGTAACGTATCAAGAAGCTCTTTAGAGGCAGCGCAAACGCAAAAGAACTTGCAACAAGGACCCACCTCATTATATTCAAGCAAAATGGCTGCCAGGCTGCCGCAGACAGTGGCAATGAGGCAGGAGGCAGGTTGGGCGAACTGGCAACCAGCCAACGCCAACGAGCAAGCACTGAGGAGGGGCAGCTGAGAGGTAGACGTTTGGTCAAAAGGAAAACAACTTAAAGCATCTCGCACGCAATCGATAAGTTCATGGAGTTTTTCAAATCATAAACAGATTTGGCAATGCATTAAATTTCGCGTAGCCTGAAACGCAATTTGGCAGTCGATTAGCACCTTCAGGTAGAGAGGAACTCTGAAAATAGACTAGCTCGAGGTATTTGGCTGCAACACACCGGCTGCTGGCAATTAAAACTTAAGATACACATGTGCACGTTAAGTTCAACCACATTTCGAACTCCCAACCAAAGTATGTTTGTGTTTTTATTTTATACATCTGGCCAAACGGACGCTATCTTGGGTGATGCCATCGTCGGGCTGGTCGAATTGGATGCTCTATAGAATAATATAAATTTCTGGTGTGTTGCGTTTTAGTTCAACGCACTTGTTGGCCTACATTGCAGTTGCAGTTGCAGTTGCAGAAAATGAGCATGCAACTCTTTCCCTCTCTCTCTCTCCCTCTCTCTTTTACCTATATAGAGCTTATGCTGGCAAACGACAGACACTATTAAATAAGCCAGCTAGAAAATATATGCATTTACAATGTTTGTACTAGGTTATATTTTTTAGTGAATGCAATGCGGAAATCATTTCGATCATTGTGTCAATTTATTTTCTTTACTGTGCAGTTGCGAGTTCGGAAAGCAAATGCAATTTACAAAAGAAGGATAAACTTTAAATTCAATGGCCATGAACTGGCAGCCAATTCTGCATTTGTTCACTCGATGATCTCATTTCCAGCTGCAGAAAACTCATAATATTTTTTCTATATGCCGCATTTTACCCGAACGAGAAATTATTTTATAGTCACAAGTTTATCAACCGGCACAGAAGGCTGATAACGTGGTTAGCCCCTTTGTAAATCGGTACACTCACTAGCGCACAGTGGGTCTTATATGTATGCGAACGTGTGTAGTGCTGCGACAGTGCGTCACTTAAGAATTTAACAAGTATCTGGCGTGATGCCCGCCCACACTCATTTAATGTTACGTTGATTCTTTTTTCAATTAACAGCTGCTTCACATTCCGAGAGGGTTTAATCAACAACATAGAGCTCGTAAGTTAATCGAATGTATCTTTCGTGTGTTATCTAAACCCATATATATATATATATTCAAATGTATATGTACGTTAGAGAGAAAAAAGAGTACAGTAAAAACATTTTCACGACAGACTCGACGCGCCGCACATTTTCACGGTTGCACAAGCCCAAGGAGACTGACTGAAAATTCACGAGCGAACGGCAATGCGTCGACCACAAGCAACAACAACAACAAGCGACGCGGGCGACGCTGGCGACGACTACAAAGCGACGACCGACGATGTTTGGCAGCAGTCTCTCCCGGCTTTGGGGTGTGTGTGTGTGTGTGTATATATGGATGGGGTCTGTTTGTATGGCTGCTTGCTGCTTGCTGAGCCTCCCAGCTTGTGTGTGTGAGAGTACGTGCATGTGCAAGTGGCAAAGAATGAAAAATGAATAAAAGCACCCGTAGCATCAGAGAGTTGCGATGATTATACAATGTGCAACAGAATTAACCCCAAATGATTTTAAAATATCCGAATACTCTGACCTTTTCAGTTGGCGGTGTAGACTCTATCATCCCAATTTGCAACAAGAAACCAGAATATAAACTCATCCCAAACTAATTACATACTAAATGTATACAAAACTAATTTAAATTCGGGTACATTAAGATATAAACCCAAATGATTTAAAAATATCATTAAAACGTCGGGATTCTGTGACCTTTTCAGTTGGCGGTGCAGAATCTACAATCCCAAATTGCAACAAGAAACTAGAATATAAGCTCATCCCAAATTAATGACATACTAAATGTATATAAACTAATTTAAATTCGGACACAGTTTTATGTTCAGCTTAATAGGGCAAGCGATAGACTCCCCACTCCCTATTCCCTATTCCCTTCCCTTATAGAGTGCGGGCAGTCAGCATACCGTATCCAATGAAAACAAATGAAGTGCTCTGATAACCGAAGAGGGTCAGGATGTCACATCCTACATCCTACATACTACTTAATATGAGATCGGTTTTTGTCTATGTATGTGCGTATGTGCGCGTGCCGCGACTGAATGAACATCTGGATTGAAGACACTTGAGAGGGAAGCACTACAGAAACGGAGAGAAGGGAAGCGGAAAGTGGGTACTTGCTCATTAATGATGACAACCAAGCGTACTACAGACCATTTACAATAAAACAATTACAAATGCGCATAAATTCAAAGAAATCCAATAAGGGCACAATATTATGGCGAACATGGACGTTGGACTCATTGGGAAACACATAAATTAACATCGACACACCCCACAAAACTGGTCTATTAACAACAAGTAAAATGCGTGAAAATTTCTTAAACAGCATTAACGAATGCGAATAAATACAAAAAAGAATATTGTAAAATAATTGTAAATCCTTCCTAGTATATATTCTTGTTCTTTCACTCATATCTCGCAAATCTCCCTCAATTTTTTTATTTTGTAGATTCTCTTTGCTTCTTAACTCACATTTTCGATTATTTCATTTTCTCAAAAACAGCTGAGGGGTAACTGTCTGCCATGCCAGGGTCATTTTCATCATCCGTAAATTGAGACTTTTACTACACACGTCAGACGGAACGAATGGAGAGATGCTGCTATAAAATGTTCAACGAGTCGTCCGCAAAAAAAATTCATCTAGCGAGTATTGAGACAGCGAGAAATAAAACAATTTAAAACATGTATAGCATGCTTTTAGGTGCTTTACAAAATTCATCGAATCTTGTATAGAATAAATTTGAATATTTGGAATTCGATACAGCGTAAATTGTTTAATAACTACATGTCATCTTACATTTTTTAGGTTTCGCTTAGCGAGTGCCTTCTGTACTCAAGTTAAAATTGACCCAGTGATCAAATTTATTTTTCCCCAATGGCGAACTGTGGCGTGACTCATCGCATGCATTTCTAAGTCATCTATACAATTTATTTTCGCCCCCTGCCGAATTGGCGACAATTGAAGGCAAATTAGCGAACTCTGAACTATTCGACCACACTCAGATTATGGCCTCCTACTTGCCAGAGTTTTAATTGTCTCGCACAAAAATAAATTGCTGAACAATGTTTATTTGAAAACACAAACTCGCAGTGGGTCTTGGAAACATTTCCATTTCTACGTCCGTATATTGAATTAAATCCATGTGAACGTCTCTCAAAGACTGGCAGCTGATCTTTGCTTGAAGTCTATAACAACTATATATATATGTCGTGTATCCAATAAATTATTGTGAGTATTATTTTGAATGCTAACGATTAAGTGTTAGTAAGAATCAGAGAATTTGACAGAAGGTACTGCTATTTAACATAACTGTCCTACTTGTATTAGGGTTGCTACTGAAAGCATGGTGTGAGACAAAAAAAGATAGTCTCTGCCGAGCATGGCCCGAGTGTGTTGTATAACGTCCAGTTTGCTATAGTGTTGAATGTTCACTAACAGTACTAAAAGTCAGAGAAGAATATAGAATGACAAGAGCATGAGTAGTATGCTCGAGGACGATGAAAATTATTCATTCTAAAAGTGGAAGTCATAGAGAACAGACGTGCTCGCTCCTAAAAATATAATTATTTTGTGACTATAACGACACTCGGGACTTGCTGTACTGCCAGTATGCCTAATTGCAAAGAAAGTGATTTCTCTGTTCCGACATCAGAAGTGGGATTAGGCGATGCCCCTCCACGAGGCAATTCTGACGATTCGTGGCGTCAGCTTTTGGAATCTCAAAATCGAAATATTCTTGAGATTATTAAAGCAATGCAGATGTCAAATTCAGCATCCTCAACAAAGAAGAGCATCTCGTTGCCAAAGTTCAACCCGGACATTGCAGGCGCAGATGCAAATGCCTGGTGCAAAACTGTGGACATAATACTTGACGATAATCCTATTGAGGGCAGTACACTGGTGATGACCCTCAGCGGCTCCCTAGAAGGAAGCGCCTCGCCCTGGCTTTCTCAAATATGCTATACTGGAATGAACTGGCAAAATTTTAAGGAATTGTTTTTGCAACGTTTCGTGGGAATGGAAACATCGGCGGCAACTTTAATGAACATTTTTAATGGCCGACCGAATGATGGCGAATGCCTCTCCGTATATGCGAGCCGTCTTGTGACCTCACTTTTATCCAAATGGAAGACAGCGAACATGGAGGAAATTGCAGTCTCAGTTGTTTTGGCACATACATCGAAAATCGACAAAAGTCTGCAACGTATGTTATATACGACTAATATTAAAAGTCAAGACGAGATGCAACAGCATCTGAAGGCCTATGCTTATGGAAGGTCAAATGGAGGTCTACAGCCAAATATCCCAATGGAACCAGATCGCAAGAGATCGAAAACATATGGCATTAAATGTCATCATTGTGGAAACCTCGGACACAAAATGGTCGAATGTCGCAAGAGGAAGTATGAAGAAGGCAACGTGTCAAAAAACTCAGCATTACCTAAAGTTCGATCTGCCGTTACCTGCTTCAAATGTGGCGATGCTGGCCACATTGCGTCTTCATGTACGAAAGGAGTTTCTACGAGCGGTGTTGGATCACATGACAAGCGTATAAACATCTGTTGTGTGTCCGAGCCAAAAGGAATCCTGTGTCAATCTGGTGAGCTCCTTCCATTTTGTTTTGACTCTGGAGCGGAATGTACGCTCATCAGAGAGAGTTGTGCCGAGAAATTTTCCGGAAAAAGAATTAATAATTTGATAGTTTTGAGGGGTATTGGAGAAAATCCTGTGTATAGCACTATGCAAATCTTGGCTACTGTTAAAATTGATCAGTACTCCTTAGAAATATTATTTCATGTAATAATGGATAAGTTTTTGAAATACGATGTATTGATAGGCCGTGATATACTCGGATTAGGCTTTGGAGTCTCCATCGAGGCCGACAAATTTGAAATGTACAAAACCAAAACTGTTGATGTACTAATAAAAGTGCCAGATATAAGTTACGTAGAGCATCTGAATAACGATAGAGCATTAAGCAACACTGATAAGAATCGTCTGCTAGAATTATTGCAAAACTATGCTGATAAATTTATTGAGGGTATTCCTCAAACGCGAGTGACTACGGGTGAACTTGAAATCCGCCTGCTTGACCCAAATAAAACTGTACAAAGGCGTCCGTATAGGTTAAGCATAGAAGAAAAAGAAGTCGTGCGAAATAAAGTAAAAGAATTGTTAGACGCAAACGTTATACGTCCTAGTTGCTCTCCATTTGCAAGCCCAATGCTGATGGTAAGAAAGAAAAATGGAACCGATCGACTATGTGTCGATTATCGGGAACTGAATGCTAATACGGTCGCTGACAAATATCCGCTGCCTTTGATTTCTGATCAAATTAATAGACTGAGTGAAGGCAAATATTTCTCCAGTTTAGACATGGCAAGTGGTTTTTACCAAGTTCCAATACACCCAGACTCTATCGAGCGCACTGCTTTTGTCACGCCAGAAGGACAGTATGAATTTTTGGCCATGCCTTTTGGATTAAAAAATGCTTCCTCGATTTTCCAGCGCGCAATCGTGAGAGCATTGGGTGATTTGGCTCAAACGTATGCCATCGTCTATATAGATGACGTGTTAATTCTAGCGAAGACAAAGGAAGAGGCACTTGAAAGGCTACAAACGGTCTTGGAAAACTTGTCTAGAGCTGGATTCTCATTTAACATTACAAAATGCTCGTTCTTGAAAACAAGCATAGAATATTTAGGATACTTGGTTGAAGCGGGTCAAATTCGACCAAATCCACGCAAGATACAAGCGTTGGCCGAATTGCCGTCACCGCAGTCAGTAACGCAGGTGCGACAATTCATAGGCCTAGCCTCGTATTTTAGGCAATTCGTACCAAAATTTTCTGAGCAGATGAAAGCTTTATATAATCTCACCTCCAAGAATAATAAATTTGTCTGGAAGCCGGAATATGAGGAAATTCGTCAAAAAATCGTATCAATTTTGACTAATGACTCCGTTTTGACAATTTTCGATCCACTAAAGCCAATTGAATTACATACAGACGCAAGTTCTATTGGATATGGTGCTATTTTAATGCACAAGATAGAAAATAGACCCAGAGTCATTGAATATTACAGCAAATGTACGACAATGGCTGAAGCAAAATATCATTCATACGAGCTTGAGACCCTCGCAGTTTACAACGCAGTAAGACACTTCCGCCATTATTTACATGGTCAAAAATTTATTGTGCATACAGATTGCAACTCCCTGAAAGCAAGTATCAAAAAAATTAACCTTACCCCAAGGGTACATAGATGGTGGGCATATCTGCAATCATTTGATTTCAGCATTGAATACAGGAAGGGAGAACGCATGTTACATGCTGATTTTTTCTCGCGCAATCCGTTGCCTACTGATTATAAATCCTCAGCGAAAACGGTTGAAATGCACATAAACCTAGCTGAGATAACCGACGATTGGCTTCTAGCCGAACAGCAACGAGATTCTGACATTGCTTCCATAACCTTAAAATTGCGAAACCATAAGATGGGAGAAGCTATCTCAGCGTCGTACGAATTGAGAGCAGGAGTATTATATCGAAGGATTCAAAGAAATGGCAGCACAAAATGTTTGCCTGTAATACCTAGAGCCTTTAGATGGTCAGTCATTAACAATGTTCACGAAGCCATAATGCATTTAGGGTGGAAGAAAACTCTAGACAAAATGTATGCCAACTACTGGTTCGAGAAGATGTCTAAGTATGTGAAAAAGTTTGTAGAAAATTGCATTACCTGTAGAGTGTCAAAACCACCATCTGGTAAGCTACAAATAGAAATGCACCCGATTCCTAAAGATGACATACCCTGGCACACTGTGCATATTGATATAACCGGAAAATTAAGTGGCAAAAACGACTTAAAAGAGTACATCATAGTTCAAGTTGATGCATTCACAAAATTTGTTCACCTTCAACATACGCTGAACCTTAATACGGAAAACTGCATTAAGGCAGTCAAAGAAACTGTTGCACTATTCGGAGTGCCGGCACGCATCATAGCTGATCAGGGTAAATGTTTTGCTAGCACAAGGTTTAGGGAATTTTGTTCTTCGCAGAAGATAGGTTTACACCTGATTGCGACGGGCGCCAGTCGAGCAAACGGCCAAGTAGAGCGTGTCATGAGCACCTTGAAGAGCATGCTCACAGCGGTTGAGAGTAGTCAGCGATCCTGGCAAGACGCTTTAAAAGACATACAGCTGGCAATAAATTGCACGACAAATCGTGTAACGAAATATAGTCCGTTAGAATTGCTAATCGGTAAAGAGGCAAGGCCGTTAGGAATGATAACAATATCAGATGAAAAAACAATTGATAAAGATTTAATAAGAGCACAAGCGAAAGATAACATGGTGAATAACGCTAAATATGATAAGGCTAGGTTTGATAAAAATAAAGCAAAAATTGTAAAATATAAGCTTGGTGATCATGTCCTACTCAAGAGGGAAGAACGAAATCAAACGAAGTTAGATCCCAAGTTTAAGGGACCTTTTGAGATAATCGAAATACTTGATGGAGACAGATATTTATTAAAGTCATTGACGAGTAAGCGCACGTTTAAGTATGCACATGAGTATTTGCGAGCTTTTCCAAGCAACAATGTATCGGAGGAGTTGATAGATTTGAGAGATGATGAGTGTGACAATGTTGAGGACATTGCTCAAGACACTGTGGCACTAAGAGAGAGTGCGGTTGGGCTCATACACGATGGCTAAGACCGCACCATAATACTCACGCCGTGCACAAGTGCTCGATCATGGCGTGCTGAAGCGGGTGATATTATGGCGGGGGTCAGAGGTTGAAAGACCTGTATGGATCCGCTCCATATTATCGTTGCTGGGCAGCAAGAGCCTATAGACGTGTGATGACAGAACAACAACAAAAAAAAAAAAAAAAAAAAAAAAAAAATAAAAAAAAATAAAACCTACAATGACCGATGATACTGCTGTTTGTAAAGCTATTCTTAAAGTAAAGTAATGACTAATAAATTTTACCCAACAATTTTGACTATGGCATGATCTAAGCGAAATGTACACACGAGGACGTGTGAAATGTCAGGAAGGCCGTGTCGTGTATCCAATAAATTATTGTGAGTATTATTTTGAATGCTAACGATTAAGTGTTAGTAAGAATCAGAGAATTTGACAGAAGGTACTGCTATTTAACATAACTGTCCTACTTGTATTAGGGTTGCTACTGAAAGCATGGTGTGAGACAAAAAAAGATAGTCTCTGCCGAGCATGGCCCGAGTGTGTTGTATAACGTCCAGTTTGCTATAGTGTTGAATGTTCACTAACAGTACTAAAAGTCAGAGAAGAATATAGAATGACAAGAGCATGAGTAGTATGCTCGAGGACGATGAAAATTATTCATTCTAAAAGTGGAAGTCATAGAGAACAGACGTGCTCGCTCCTAAAAATATAATTATTTTGTGACTATAACGACACTCGGGACTTGCTGTACTGCCAGTATGCCTAATTGCAAAGAAAGTGATTTCTCTGTTCCGACATATATATATATATATATTTTTTAATATATAACTTAACTTTAATCACTTTGTTCAGCACATAATTTATTTATTATCGAAGAGATAGATCGTAAATAAAAATAGAAACTGAAAAAAAAACTGTTAAGACCAAACAGATTTTAACCATAGCGATTATTTTATGAAATAAAATCTGTTTGGTCTTAACAGTTTTTTTTTCAGTTTCTATTTTTATTTACGATCTATCTCTTCGATAATAAATAAATTATGTGCTGAACAAAGTGATTAAAGTTAAAGTGATGGTGATGAAATTTAACCGTCTACGAATCTGTTTGAAGATGATGTTTTATACTTAGTTTAACATCCGCAAATTTGAACATCAATCTTTTAATTTCAGAGAGAAACGATGATGAATAAAAAAAATTTAATAGCAACAAACTAAAACAGCAAAAATGCATAAATTTGAAATGCAGAATCAACCAAAAAGAAATCGGGTTAATTTTGAAATATTTACTTGTTGAGTTCACACATGGTAAAGTGTTCTGGTTTACAAATTTAAAAACGTATTTAATTTTGCAGCAGATTGTAATTATGCCAGCCCAAGAGAGAGAGAGAGAGAGAGATGAGCCCTCCAGCGTTGACACTATTCGAAGAAAAAAAGGGTGATCTCCTCCAACATATGGTATGAAGCTAATTAAAGACATAACGCCCGTTCCTTGGTGTGAAGTCAAACATGTGGGTGCAGTAAGAAGCTCGTCAGAATAATACGAATATTACATTGACAGGGCTAAACTGCGTCACCAAACTATGTATATTTGTCACGCCCCAAATATTGATAAGAATCATCTGTTCTGTTTTGTAGAAACTCTAGAAGGACAAAGATTGCAACATGTGTTGCAACTTGGCTTGACATGTCCCTGCTGTCGGCAGTTGATTTCAACAAAAACAACATGTTGCATATCACAAACTAAGCCAGCAAAATGCGTCAAATACCAATAAAATTCCACATAGGAAAATTGCGGAGTTTTATTTTATTGTTGAGTGAAAGTCTTTTCCCGCAGTCGTAATAACCGGGCACATAAATGCGGAATAGTCTAGTCGGTCTAATCAATTCAGTGCGCTGCGGGACTTAAGCAACGGGTCGGGTCTAAAGCGACTCGGACTCGAACATGACAAGCAACAAATGTGCGCAACTGCAGCCTTGTCTGTCACTCATTGTGCATGTAGTATATTGTGCGTATATATTTATTAGTACATAAATTGGGAAACACATTCGATCAACACAAAAACAACTCCAGTACTTGACACTCAACCGGTTTTGGCAACCATCCGTAGTTTTCACCTTAGATAGCGACGTCATCGAAATGAAGATTGGATCTACTAAAGATAAACTGATGACAAACCCCCAAAGACTCCGACAAATTGGTTTATAAAATACTTTTAAAAACGCTTCCATGGCAAAATTAAATTGTCTGTGTGGCTAATGCAATTTTCAACAAATCAATGTATAATAATATATAATACATATAAATATAAAATAATATAATATATAATCGTTGAGAAACTGGCCTAATAAGGTTACAAAAATAAATATATTTTTATTTATTTATTTATTTATTTATTAAATGGTCGACAAAAACGAGTGTCTTCTTAATTAGTCAACATATTTTTGTTTGCATTAAAAACCAATAAGTTATACGTAATTTGATTTATAAGAAAGCACATGTTTCTATCCACCAACCAGTTTTATGTTTCTTTCGCGGCTTGCTCGTGTTCCATGACACATTTGTGACTAAGCCGCCGGTCATCCAAGCTGCTGGAAAAGACTTATGACTACCTTTGACTTCTTGATTGCCAATTAGAAATCAGACGCACGACTGCGGTCCGGACCACCTAACTAGCAATACAGCTGAGATGCCCATGTTAACGGCTGGCGGGAGAATTCTATTGAAATGCAAAGCTTGTCATTTAGTTCGCAATTAGTGGCATACAGCCATTACAGCCAAGCTCAGATGCATGGGAAATCTCAAGCCTCAATATGGAAGTAGTATATGCACGTAATGTTTACCCACTTGGCAACTGTCAGGCCCCCGGGAAGTTGAACGCGCTTGCACAAATAATGCAATACTGACCTAGCACAATAGTGTTTACACTATACTTATCTAACGTTTATCATTGTTTATTAATGTGGTTAGGGTTATAAAATTAGTGAATGAACATACAATTCGCCTATAATAGGCAATACGAGAAACTTTTTACTTAAATTTTACGCACTGAGCCAAATTGTCATTTGAAACAAATTAATTGATGGCAACTAAAAGTGCAAACTAAATGGTTTACGCAGCGCAGTCGCGCGATTGATAGAACAGAATGTAGCCGGTTTCCGAGGACTTGTGTATATCCGAGGTGAGGCCATAAAAGTCCTCGATGGTCGAGGCCTCAATCTTGTCGACCATGTCGTCGTCGAAGAGCAGCCAGAGCCCGTGACTCTTCACAATGCTTATGTAATGGCCGCGATTCGGTCCCGATCCGCAGTGAATTACCACCGCGGTCAGATCGTAAAGCCTGTCCGGATTGACCGCATCGTCCGAGGTGTTGAACAGGCGCAGCTCCAGCGGAAAGACGACGCGATGCGACACCTTAATGTGCCGATTGAACTGCTCCATGTACTTGAAACGCTTCAAGTGCAGCGCCAGGATCATCGGCAGCTTCTTGACGCGCATCCGCTTCTGTGCCTCCTGGTAGCTGCAGCAATTGTCGCACTTGAACTTGTTATCCGAGCAGAGGGTCTCCGTGTTGCTGAAGCAGCGCAAGCAATGCGTTATGGACGTATTCTGATCAACGTCCACCTGCAGATCGAAGAAATTCTCGTCCTTGCTGCTCACCGTCTCACAGTTGAGGCAGCGTGTCTCTGACGTAAGTATTCCCTGGAAGATCTCGTGCACCCATGTTGGCTCCGTGTTGGCCCCGTTTGTTTGTGCTATGGGCGTGGTCGTGGCGGTTAGACTCCCATTTCCATCAAGCACACTCAACGAGCCGGTCGAGTTGCTGCAATTGCCGTTGGTTGCCGTCGAGTTGGAGGTCGAGGTCGTTGTGGAATTTGACGAATTCGAGTTCGAGCTTAGCTTTGTTGTGGTGCTGCTGTTTCCTGGCATTTGGCCACCATTTGGGCCGGGAATGGCGCCACCAGCAGCCGTCTTCCCGGTGCTGCTTCCCGTGTTGCGTTCGGCCAAAATAATCTCGTTTATGTGATTAATCAAAAAGTTGAGAAACTCATGCGCATCCTGCTGCATATAGTTGTCGAACTCCTCCTTCTCCTTGCGCAATCGTGTTATAAACTTCTTGGGCGCTATCGAGCCGACCTTCTTTTTCTGCGTGGCAATGCTGTAGAAGAGATCGGCCAGGCACGAGAGCAGCGTCTCCTTGGGCCGCTTATTCTTGGCCTTATATTCGAGCACCTTCTCGCGAAAGGGCTTGCAGAAATACAGCGCCTGCAGCACCGAGTTGCTATAGCAAGTGTTCCCAAAATTAACCAGCCCGAAGTAGTGCTCGTTCGGCGGAAACAGATCAGAGCCGATCTCGCGCTCCAGCTGCGACACGTTGGCGCCCATGGTAGCTACAGGTGCTGCCGCAGCACAGCGGTACAGAAAACCCCACACCGTGTTGTATGCTTAGTGTCGATTGTTAGGCAGTACTATTTACAGTTCATAAATAGGAGTTCGTTATCGAAAGTTATGGTCAGAGCCTTGGCTCGATTTGGTATTGCCTACAGAGATTGCTTAATTTGGGTGGCAGATGCGCAAAACACTTTTCTATTTGTCTGAAAATAAATAATTTTGGAAGAGGGGATACACGTGAGTTTCTTTCGCATAACACAAACAACAAAATTATAAATATTTTAATGTATACTGTGCTTCTTTTTCATTTGAATGCTTTGTTGTTTTTTTTTTTTTTCGCAGGGTGACACTAAAAACTAAGAATTTAACTGATAAAGAACTTTATAACTAAAATGGCAAACTTAAAAAAAAAACTTTAAATCAAGTATGTAATATTCTATTCGCGAATATCCTCTCTCCAAAATATTTTCAAACAGTGTTTCGCTTTGCCCCGCTTTTCAATTATAGTTTATTTATGAAATTCGAATTTTAAATTTTTGCATCAGTTTTAAAGTAGTTTAATTATGAAATAAAAATTTGTAAAATACTTTAAAATTATTGGAATATTAAATTGCTTGGTAATTAACATTTTGGTTACAAATAACATTAATTTATCACAATAACATTAAGTACATACATTAGTTATTAGTCAGAACTTAGGCAAAATTTGCTTGCACTATGATAAATCAAATCATGCAAAATTTTGACGTCAAATAGAACACGCCCTCGGCCATTTTTTAGCGAGGCAAAGAGAATTTGTAAACTAGCTTTAGGTCATTTTCTTACTATCCAATACATTTACTTAAACTATAGACATAGTGAATCATCTATCGCCAATCGCTAGTAGTTGATTTGAGCGTAATCGATACATTTTGCATCTTTTAATGGTAAGAGTAGATCTTTTGATGACTGGCTGTACTAAAAATAGTGCCAATTTTATGGCAGTTAATTGTCAGTACGGTGATTTTTTTTTTATTTATCCGCTAGAAGTGCGCTGGGAAAATTCCGGGCAAGTGCAACGCCTCTCTGACGTGTGCCGATCTACCTTATGGCAACTTGTCGTGTGCCATGGGCAATGCACTCGACACCAGACGCTACTATAAAAGCCAAAGCCCGGGGTCCGATCAACTCTTAATTCCATTTACAACCATAGAGAATATACACACAGCGCGAGGCTCAGTGTCAACTAAACTCCACTCTGCACTTCTGGGATACTCTCAACTTCAGCCAAACTTCAAACTTAAGAAGAAGTTCAATAATATATAATATTTTGTGAACAAGGGGCACCCGATCGTTGGTACTCGTATCCTGAACTACACCAAGTTGGAGCAAATTCTAATTTCTTACGCTACCGAAACCAAACCATATGCTGTGCAGCAGGAAAGTCTATTTCGCCGATCTGTGCGGTATCCAACCCAGCCAGTGAATTCTTTATCAGGAAAGCTGCTCAAAATTCTAGCCTAATTTTTCAAATTTCACAAAAAAAAATATTTGTTACTAATACACTTAAGTTAAGCTTTAAGTCCTAATATTACCAAGTACCTGTAAAGCCATAATTATTATGTGCCATAAGCTTTAATATTTAAAGCCCATGTATAATTATTGAGTAAATGCGTTTGATAAGAATATATTCTCAATAAAGCACTAAAAAGACAAAAGAGCCTGATAGTTATGGGAAAAACCTCAACTGCCAAAGAAAATGAGTTTCAAATTGATGTGAAGCTTAATAAGATTTAAGTATGCTCACACCGTCTTGAACAATGTTTAGTACAAAGATATTCAAACAAATAACTAGTTTTAAATTAAGATCAATCCTATATTTAAGGCCCATGGATAATTATTGAGTAAGTGCCCTTGATTTAAAAATAATCTCAATAAAACACTAAAAAGACAACGGAACCTGCCTTTTAATTGATGGTTATGGGAAAACCCTCGTCTGCCAAAGAAAATGAATATCATAATGATGTGAAGCTTAATAAACTTTAACTATACGCACACTGAGTTCCAATAAGTTTCAGGAATTTTAGTACTTAAATATTCAAACAAATAACTAGTTTTAAAGTAAAATCAATCCTATATATTTCATAGATAAAGTATTTTTCCAACATTGCGAAATACGGTACGCTTCGGTACGCTTTTAAAAGCTCTTAATATCCACCTATTCAATTAGGGATGGACATTTTCCAAAACTTTAGCTACTATTTAAGTGCATTGAATCTTAACGCCCGGTGAGCTCGTTTTCATTTCTATGGGTATTTCTATGAATTGCTAACTATGCATCGACGACTATAAAACTCGCTGTGCTGTGGGGTAAGTAAACAGTACGCCAGGCAAAATGCAGCTAGTTGTAAGTATCGGAATGTTAATAAAACTGAAGGAACAACGGAAAGCTTCAAATTAAATTCGTCCATCACGATATCTACAACGAGCACTGAAGGTAAAATATTTGACAATCGTCAAAGCATTACATCTGAAACGAATATTATCGAGCCTCGACCTTTGCATATCGAACCAAGATTGAGCGTCAAACTTTTGAAAGTACTCACGCTCCTGGGCTAAGGTTCTACTTGGCTCAATAACACAAATGTCTGTTAAAATAATAAATAACATTAATTTAAAATTAATTTAAAATTGCTGCAGTTGTATTGTGTTCAGGTATACAAAACGATGGGAATTCTCAGCAGCTTTATCCATATATAATTGTCGTTCTCGTATTGTACAATAATTATTTGAATTGCAAGTTAAGTTAAATATTTAGTGAAAAGTTTTCCAAAAGTCGCAGTGATTTTCCCCTCGATACATTACAGTGCGAAACGTGAATATGGCAAGGCTTGTTATCAAAATAGCAATTACTGTCAATCATTACTGTCGGTCAATGTAATTATGAATCGAGCTCAATACAAATACAAAAAGAATCTTTCCGATTGAGGCTAAGCTAAACTGGTTCTTCTAACCGTAGAACAAGCGATGCGGAATCGCTCATTCAATATTTGCTAATGGAAGCGTGATTCTGAACTTCTCAATTGCAACATCTGCAACCGGTCAAACCTGTTTGTAGTACTATGTGCAGTAGGAATCACAGTAAATATCGCCTTGCATATATCAAATAGTGATAGAAATAGTAGACGCTCAGTGCAATGTAAGAGCTTGAGCTAAAATGGTCAGCAGAATCACAGTTTAGCCCCATTTGGATTGTTGTGAAATAGAGAAGCTAAGAAATGAACGGCTGGCAAATAATATGCTTCTTACTAGTGGTTTTTGCCTATATCGAGCACAATAATGCCGCCACCAAAGTGCTCTACGAATTCCGGTAAGTTTTCTACCAGATTGCTAAGAATCGACATCAGTAATTGTCCATACCCGTTCTCAGCATTCGCGAGGTTCACAGTGAACGCAATGAGACGGGCACGCTCAACACCTCGAGCAACAAGACGGGAGAGCCCGAACTGATAGTCACAGGCAAGCGCACGTCGCAATTGATACTGCCCGGCAAGGACTTGAATTCCAGCAGCACCGTCTACAATGAGCTGGTTGTCTATACGGCCGATGACAACGGCTACCATGTCAAGTACAATATAAGCATAAGGCCACTCGACCTGGACATACGTCTCGGCGGGAAGACCCTTAAGGTGATCGTGGGCTAGCTGCGGAACCAGTATTATTTTATTGTAAGTGAAAGTGATAGTAGCCAACAATTTTAAACCCATCCTCAGAGTAGTATATTAATTAATTTATTTAAATAAATAATATAGAGACTGGATCTGTTCTAAGCAATGAGAATAGATTTCCATCAAATGATCATCGATTTTGATTATCGAGAAAACATTAAAAAAAAAAAAAAAAAACAAGAATTTATGCAAGAATGGATTAGTCAGTAAATTTTAACAAGAAAAAACAATTCCTACCGTCTGAGAAGTTTCCTTTTGTTGCGGTTTTGGTAAATTCCTGGACCCAGGTCAATGAAAAAGGCAATTTCTGGACAACACTTTTTCGGCAATTCAATAAGAAAAACAACCAGAGGCTGCTTTAATTAAAGACGCCAGTTGCTCAAAGTGTAGCAGAACTTTGCAAGAATGTTTTTCCTGTAAAGAGAGGAAACGAAATGAAGGGAATTATTAATTATACAAACACACAAACAGCTTAAGTGCGGAAGACACAAATTTTAATTATGTACACATAGAACAACTGGCAAAGTCGTAGGCTAACTAAAAGTAAAAGCGAGGCCCTGCAAAAAAAAAAAAAATTAACTAAACAAAAATATGATATTACCTTGTGGGTCAAGTGCGCGAGAAGCAACAACAATTACGCTGATGAGGCCCGACCATGTGAGTGTGAGGAGAACAGCAATAGAATTGGGTCAGCCGGGCCACTGAGACGGAGAGCAAATTTGTTGCAACCGTTAATAAAGCTAATTAATTAATCAAGAATCACAAGCTGCTGCCGCTGTTGATAAGCCTCCGCCCAAGTCAAAAATCGACGCATCGCTCAATTTGAGCTTAGTTTTCTTTCGACAACTAAACGGAACATATCTCACGTCGCAAAAAATAGTCCAATAATAATATGGAAAGCTGGAAATGCTCGTTGACAGGCTTTGCCCTGTTATCGATCATTTGGAGCTGTGCTGGCACGCATCCTGTGGCCAACAACTACACCAACGACATACTGCGCCTCGCCAAGGCAGCCCACATTAAGGCCTACCTCAGCACGGAGGAGCCCCGGCCGTGCGACAACTTTTACAACTATGCCTGCGGCAACTGGCCGCGTCTGCACCCGGCGCGTCTCCACAACAAGAAAACTAACTATCTGGAGGAGCTGCAGGAGCTATTTGTGCGCAAGAGCGCAGATATGCTGAAGAGCACGAAACCTGGCGCCGACAGCAGCGCGGATCGTCTGCTGAAAAGCTTTTATAGCTCGTGCTATGCCCAGGCTAACAACACAGCCTCTGCTCTGGCGGCTCTGCTGCAGGTAACCGATTTCCGTGGCGGTTGGCCAGAGATCCGAGTGCCATCCTGGTACCATTATGAGTATGACTGGCTGCAAGTGGTGGCCATGCTGAAGCGTCGCTTGGGAGTGGACATACTCATCGGCCTCGACGTTGTGCTCGACTACAAGGAGGAGCGTATGCATCGACTCAAACTGGGAGCACCGCAGCTGCCACTGGGCCATCGTCGTCAATATCTAGATGCAGGCTACCATGATGCACGCGAGCGCTACGAGCGCTCGATCAGAGTGAAGCTGGAGGCGTACTTTCCGGAGCAGCCGGACCGCTGGCATGAAGAGGTGGCGTCACAGGTTCTGCAGATTGAGCAGCAGCTGGCGAAAGGATTGCCACACAATGCGGCGCTTACGTTGGAGCAGACAACCCGACAACGTACGGCCGCCGAGATGAAGGCCGCCTATGGCAACTATGTTGATGTCAGCCGCTATCTGCAAATGATCTTCAACGATTCCATGTACGTGGATCTGTACGAGACGCCAGAGGATTACATGTCCAATCTGGTAGACGTGATTCGCAACACGCCGAAGCTGCATTTGGCCAATTATACCATTTGGCGCGCATTGGATACGCTCGACCAGGCACGTGTTCCGGCGACAGTCCAGCCAGGGATGTGGTGCGTGCAACTGGTGCGAAAGTACTTTCCACAGCATCTAGAGAGCCTGTTCCATCGTAACTACAACAACATGGACATGATCAACGAATTGCAGTCCACCTGGGCGGACATTAAGCGAGTCTTCCGTGAGGATTTGCAGGCATCCACAGATCTGCACTGGCTCACGCTGGACACCCGCCAGAAGGCCATCGCCAAGCTGGAAGCGTTGGAGCTGCAGTTCCGCAATCACGATGACACACAACTCATACGACAGATGCACGGCCTTCATCTGCATCCGGATCAGTTCTATCAGAATTTGGTGAGAGTCTTGCAGTGGCACACGCAGCGGCAGCTATCGAAGCTGGTGGAGGAGCCGCAGCTGACGGACCAGGTGTATAAGGTGCCACACTACGAGCTAACCACCAACAAGATGCAAATACCCATCACTTTTCTTCAGGCGCGCTTCTTCTGGGATCCCGCCTATCCGAACGCCCTGAAATACGGCACACTAGGCGTTTTGCTGGCTCGCCAGATGCTGCATGGCTTCGACGATGTGGGACGACACTTCGACCGACATGGCTATCGAAATAACTGGTGGGATGTCACCTCGGAGAGTTCCTTCGCCCGACGCGCACAGTGTTTCCAGGAGCAGTATGCCATATTTGTGCAGTTCAGGGACAAGCCCGTCAAGGACAAAGGTCTACTGAGCCGAATTGTCGCCGACAACGGCGCCCTTAATATCGCATATCGCGCCTACACAAAATGGCTAAAGAACTCGGCCGAGACGCCCATCATCTATCAGCGGGAACGTTTGCCATTGCTCGATCACTCGGAGAATGAGCTCTTTTACTTGGCCTATGCCCAGCTCTACTGCTCCGACTACCCGGATTCCCTGGAGATCTTCGATGAGCTACCCGAACAGCTGCGTGTCAACACAGCGCTCTCCAATTCGGAGCAGTTCGCGAATGCCTTCAGGTGCTCCAGAGACGACAAGTTAAATGCCCGCTTCAAGTGCGCACTCTATTGAATGGCTATTCACAACATTTTGTATTCGCGACACATATCTATTACACAAGTCCAATAAAGCTTTGCACATTTGAAACTGTTTTTAGCCCATATGAAATAGTTGTCCAGTCTTCGGCAGACAAGATTCCTCCACATAGCAAACATAGACTTTAAGTCCAGCATTGCAGCCTTGTATTTCCATTCCTCCGCTCTTATGCTCTCTCGTGATAACCCGCGATGAACTGCGGACTTATCAGCCCCACTTTAAGGCCGGACCGAGCAACGAATGCTGACAGTTTACAGCGACCCAAAGATGCAGCAGCATGTCAGAAACAGGCTGTTCAAAATCTCTCTTGCTGCTGACTCTGTTGCTTGCGTACCTCGGCCAAGTGCCTGGTGAGGGAGGTGCGTTTCAGCGCGTTTTCCAGACGGAGGAGACAGTTCGTCAAAACAAGGCGCATGAGATGCGGCGTCAGATGAACTTTCGTGCCAGTCCCTGCAGCGATTTCTACGAGTATGCCTGCGGCAATTGGGAAACGGAGTCCACGCCGCTGGCCAAGCTGGAACACCGCATAGATGTGGATTTGATGCGACTGCTGGAGGAGAGTGCACATCGCAAGGACAGTGCTCTTGCACGTCAAGCCAAAGAATTCTACCAATCCTGCCTTGTGGCCCGGGCCCACCAGAGTCAGCAGCAGCAGGACTTTCTCAGCGATTTCATTCAGCAAAACGGTGGCTTCCCAGCCGTACCAGGCTCGAAGTGGGCTGCATATAACCTAGAATACAACTGGGCCCAGGTAACAGGCCGACTGCGACGACACTATGGCATGGATATCCTCATAGGGCTGCGCGTCAGCTACAACTATGCCAGCGTGCAGGAGAATAGCATCTACTTAAGTGAGCCAACCACCTTAATTCCCAGGGAACTGTGCACCAAACGCCACCTTAATGAACGCGATTCGGCATATAAGGCGATCGAACGGCTAGTGGCCACCCAACTTAAGACCTGGCTAGCAATGGGCAATGAGGAGTCCGCTCGACTCGCAGGCGAGATTGTCAGCTTGGAACATGAGCTGTGTGGTGGAATGCATGGCCTGGAACCTTGGAATGCCGAGCAGCAGCTCTACACGGCCAATTTTACCCGAAAGACACTATCTGAGCTTTCCCAGCTCTACGATCTAGATTTCAAGACATATGTGAGCAGCATCTACGATCAGACTATCTTCAGGCCCGTCTACATGGCAGCTCCTGACTATTATCGCCAACTGAAGCGCACACTGAGTATCCGCAATGGTACCCAGATAGCCAACTATGTCATGTATCGGGCAGTCGCTGCCCTCATATTTCCGCTAGAGGATAAGCCGGAGCACAGGCCAGCCTACTGTTTGGCCACGGTTAAGCGCCTTTTGCCAGCTGCTTTGGGCGAGCTGTATGCTAGTCAGTATGTCACGGAGGAATTCAGACTGCAACTGCTTCAGCTTTACGACCAGTTGAAGGATGCACTAAAGCGGAGCGTGAGCGCCGACTGGCTGGAAGAGGGCAGCAGACGCGTTGCTCAACGTAAGCTAAGCGATCTACAATTAATACTGCCAAGTTACGAGCAACCTCTGGCACTGCGGCTAACTCTGGACCGAAGCAACTATTGGCACAATCTACGTCAGCTTTTGGATGAGGTGCAAGCACAGCAGCTAAAGCGCCAGCTTGAGGAGAGCCCGCCAATGCCAGCCGATCCTGTGGAGGCCTATGAAACTCGGGTGCACTACCGGCCTGTCCAGCGGCGGCTTGAGATGGGCTGGGCGCTGCTGCAGCCGCCTGACTACGATGAGCGCTACGGCCATGCCCTGCGCTACGCTACTGTAGGAACCGTGCTGGCACGACAGATGGCCACGGCTTTCGACGAGCTGCATTGGTCGATTGGCCTGCTCGAGCACGACAACTGGGACCCACTGACGGCTTATAGGTATCAGAATCGAAGTGAATGTTTTGGACGCCACGTGGAGGAGTATCTGCAGCACAATTCAACCGCCACACAGCTGCTAATAAATTCCAGTGCCGGTCTGAACATTGCCTTTAACGCCTACCTCACATGGCTGGGCTTGCAGGCACCCAACAATGACTTCGTGCGTCTTACTAAGGAGACCCTGCCCGGGCTAAACTACTCCAACACAGCACTCTTCTTCCTAGCCTTCGCCCAGCAACACTGCAATCCGAAGGAGCAGCATTATGGCGAGCCCAATTTATGGCCTACGATCACGTATAGTGTCCGACAATCGCACAGCTGGACTCGCCTAGCAGTAAATGGGCCGTTAAGAAACTTGGCAGATTTCGCACGTGAATTCCATTGCCCAGCCGGATCACCAATGAATCCTTCAGAGAAGTGTACTATTTACTGATGCAGCAGCCAAATTCAATGTAAAAAATATCGTACTATATCCTATGTTAGACATCAGACAACACCTAGAGAGACTAGTTATTTCTTTCGATTAAGTATTTTGTACTGACTATTTACAATAATAATTCCCAGCCCACAGTTAATTTAAGATAACAATTATTTACAGATACTATACATTCAAATGGAGGCGAGTGGGTGAAAATATGAATTATGTTACTAAAATGTCTGAATTTTAGCGATATTGATTTCGACGTACTTCTTATATGTGGAAAAACAATGAGAATGAATATATTTTCATTTGAATAAAGCTGTAGAATTCTATACATATATTGTTTATTTATTCAATTTCTGAACAGTTGCAAATGGTCGACGTGCAAGGTCGGTTTTATTTACTTCCCTTCCCGGCCTTAGAGCGTCTCTACGGCGATAACCCTAGGAACTGGGCCTCAGTCGGCCAAGTTGACCCAATGCGTCAAGTTCAAGAGCGAAACGATGATAGCGGCGCTCATCTTTCAGCGCCGGGCTCAGTCGATTTTTGAACGCTAAAATGGGAACTACACGAGTTGCTCTATTACTGTCACTATTTCTGTCTCACCTTGCCGGGAAAGTCTACGGGGCCGGCACACAATACAGGTACAACAACATAAATCGCGCGAGCATGCAGGCAGGTATTTCGCCGCAGGCCGCCGCCATGCCCAGCCTCGGCAACAACAACGTTGAGAGTCGCCAGGAGCAGAAAGTGCGCCAAACCATGGCCAGAGACATACACAAGTACATGAATCTGAGCACCGATCCCTGCGTGGATTTCTACGAGTACGCTTGCGGAAACTGGGGACGGTACCACAGTCGCCAACTGCGCGCTGGTGAGCTGATCACGGCCCAGCACCTGGTCGAGGCGCGCATAGCGGAGCAGCTGCAGGATTTGCTGACACTCCCGTTGCCACCGCAGCACCATCCCAACGAATACAGCGCAGCGAGCGCGGCAAATGTGCGCAAGGTGCGCAGCTTCTACGATTCGTGTGTCGCCGTGGAGGCCAACACTGCCGAGCGGCGACAATTCCTAATGAAGATTCTGCGGGAACACGGCGGACTGCGCAATGTGCCCAATTCGAACTGGAAGCCCGACTATCACTGGCTGCAAATGCTGGCAGCGCTGCGACGCAACTATGGCCTGGATATACTAATCGGCCTGGAGGTGGACCTCAATCTGCAGCAGCTGCGCGGCAACAGTATTTACCTGGGCGAACCCCGCCTGACTATCATACCACCGGAGCACTGCAGCGCAATAGCCACGCGGCAGGCGAATGTGCGCGACGAGATCTACGAGCAGATCCAGCAGCAAGTTGCGGATAACATGCGAGATTGGTTCGGCATGGAGAGTGGCGAGGCGGCACGTTTCAGCGGCGATATTGTACGCTTTGAATTTGACCTTTGCAAACGCATGCGAGAGGAGGAGACCCTGCCGGGGTCCGAGCCCGACAATCAGCAGGAATCAGCACAGGCTCCCGTTTACGGCGGACGTTCTCGCATCGGGCAGGAGAGATTGCGCCAGCAGCCCGGCGGTAGCTCACTCTATCCGCGAATGACACTGACCGAGCTGACCACTAAGCTGAGCAACTGGCTTGACTTTAAGCTCTTTGTCGAGAGCATTTTAGAGGACGCCTATACGGAACATGTGTACCTGCGCTCCCAGAGCTATTTGACACACCTGGTGCGGACAGCCAAAGCCAACAATCCGATAACAATTTCCGGTTACATTATATACAGGGCACTGCTGGAGCTGAACCAACCGCCAGAGGAGCAGGCGATGCGGCGTCCACGTCAGTGCGTCCATGTGATGCAGCGGCTCTTCCCGCAGGTTCTGGGCGACATGTACCAACGCCACGTGCAACGCGATGACGCACAGCATGACATGGAGCAGGTGTTCAGCGACCTGGTGAAGGCCTTTGAGCAACTGCTCAAGGTTGACTGGCTGGACGAAAGTGATCGACGGACGGCCAGGACCAGATTGGCCCAATACCACACCCAGTTGCCAGACTACCAAGGCGTCGATCTCTCGGGTCTGCAATTCCAGAAAAACGAAGACTACTGGCGAAGGCTGGAGACGACACTGCGCTTCAATTCTCGTGAATATCTTAACAAGCTGCGGGGCAATGATTTTGCACAGATCCCCGAGGGCACGGTGAATGCCTTCGAAGTGCGTGCCGCGCTGGTGCCTCGCCAGCAAGCGGTGCTCGTGGGCTGGGGTCTAATGCAGGAACCCTACTACAGCTACTACTATCCCAAGGCGCTGAAATATGCGCTGCTGGGACAGCGACTGGCCAGCGCACTGCTGCAGGCCTTTGATGACGAGGGCTGGAACAGACACCCCCAGGCGACGGCGCCCTGGAACGAGCTGACAATGGCCGGCTACCGGAACGCCACCGAGTGCCAGCGTGCCCAATACAGCAATTACCTGTCGAATCAGCCCAGCGAGTTCCGCAATGCGACGCGCCTGAGAGAAATCATCGCCGAGGGCGGGGCTCTGAATGTCGCTTTCAATGCGTACTTGGGCTGGCTTGAGCTGGTCCATGGCCTGAAACCTCTGCTTTTCCGAGAGACGCTTCCCGAGCTCAACTTCACTAACACGCAGCTTTTCTTCATATATTTTGCCCAGCTTCGCTGCTGGGCCAAGCCGGACGAGCAGCCCGCATCCGAGGCAATGCCCCTCATGCAGCACACACCCCAACGCTGGGATGTCAACGGGCCACTGAGTAACTCGGAAGAGTTCGGACGGGAATTCGGCTGTGCACTGGGCACCCACATGAACAGCGGCAAAAAGTGCCTAATTTTTTAAGACAACTAACAATAGCAAAAAACTTAGTCAAGATAAGTTCGCGAAGGTAAAATTAAGACTAGACACTTAAGAGTGTTCCACTGAGATATACCCCATCTAAACATATTCTTAAACCCATTTCATCTGGTTACAATCAAGGCACATTTTATTAAATATTTAGCAAAAAGAGTAGCAAAAGCCTCCTTCTACTTGTGTGTTTTGGGTTTCCGGCAAGCGCGAGACTAAATAGCAAGAAAAATAAATTAATATAAAAAGCTGGGCTTACACTTCTATATAGATATATACATGTAAATATATATATATGCATGACGGCGACAATCGCTGAAGCGTGAGATGAGATTCGGGTTGAAGGCAGAATTAAGCACTTAAGCACGCAGCGTCAAGATGCAAAAACAGAAAAATACAATTGCCACATGTACATGAGTATAATTTTCAATATATAAATACCTACATCTGCGTCTTGTACTCGGGTGTAGATACAAAAAAAAAACTCCAAATGTGGGTCGTTGTTGGCCTTAAACTGTCAATCGGTTACTTCGACAGCAACTATTCAATATAGGGGTTTGTGACTCACGTATTTCCGTCTTGAGGATAGGATATGGATTATGTTACAGACTCGAGGGCTAAGTCTAGAAGTTTCAATGGATTTCCTTTCACAGAAATTGCACATTTTGTTTTTTGATATGTAAGATTAATTTTTATAGACGTTGGTTACCCGTCAAGTCAAATTAGCATTATTATCGGTTAAATTATTCATTTAGAACGCCTCAAGCGATCGATTTCAACTTCATTATGAAAAAATAAACACATCGTATCAAATAAATGTATGTTTATATTATAAATAAAGCTGTATGTGAGCGTATCTGAATTCTCTTCACTAAAAAAAAAACCTTGTTGCCGCAGTATAAAATTACGACAAATAAACACAGTGCGGGGTCCAATTATTTATACAACAAAAAGCGTGAATCATATTGAAGTAGAGAAGCAAGCTAAGCTATAAACAAGCATATTCGCAAGTCAAATTAGAATAAAACGAGTACAGATCACTTTTCCTGCAAATAATTATATACTCGTTCAATGTTCAATGGCAATACATAAAAAAGAATTTCTCTCTCGAGTATTTATCATTATTCATTCATCTTTAGCCACATATTTATGTAAATCCTTTCATGATCTACTCTGACGCGGCTTTAATTATTGTGAAAATGTTATTTAAAAGCAGCTGAAATGCATTCAAGTTATTATGTCAGCACCTGACTTACAATTGTAATAAAACAATGAATCCCTCCATGCCGCAAAGGTGCAGAGACCAGAAATAAACTAGTCGCCAGAGCTGGCAAACTCAAACAACTTAATAAATCAAATATACAAGTCCCCAAATATATCAAACATACAAAAAAACATATAAGTTCTCAAAGCGATCGTCCCAATTTCTTCACTCAACTCGAAGAGTAAGAGCCCCGCCCTTGCACATATTCTAATGATCCCACCGACTGAATTCCGGGGCGATTCCCTACTCTTCTCCTGGCTTGGCATTTAACATAATACGCTATTTGATTTACAATTTTAGATCTCAATACTGAAACGAACATTTATTTTCAATGAGCAGCAACAAACAGACACTCCTGTTCCCGTTTTCAAGTGGTAAGCAATTGGGAGTCTATTAATCCTAAATGTTTTAGATGAGCAAAGTACAGAAGAAATACTTTGACTACATATATTAGAATGTAATTAGTTTGAAAATAAAATAACGAAAATAACTAACTGCGATAGAGTCTGACTGTCAATCCGTTTCGTTTAGAGTTAGGAATAATTATTATCTGTTGCGCCAAAACACACACACACACACACACACACACAAACAAGCACTCACAAGCCATGTGGGCGATGATGACGCCTTCGCAGGCTCATATATGGCCCACATATTTGAGTAATAACACTTTACATACGGTTTTGGCAAGCATTTAATAAAGAAATTTATTTCTCCATTCAATTATTGTTTTTGCTTATTGTGTACCAGTTACGAATGCCTCCATATTTATCATCGACTTCTGACAAAACAGATTGTCCCAAATATAAATATATTGTATTTAACATTATATATATAATTATTTATTTTGTATTATTTTATTGAGGTGTTTTCATTAGGGCCACTGAGATAGAGAAACCAATAAAAAGGAAAACATTTTAAGGGAACTAAACCTCGAGACAACATAAAATGTTCACATGATAATGTGCTTGAATTAAGAATATAGAAAATAGCTCCCATTAATCGACACGTCAATTGCGACATTACCGAACCCCAAAACAGCTGGTTCAAGAGGGAGTGTAAGAGAGAGTGCGCGCGAGAGAGAGAGAGAGAGAGAGAGAGAGAGAGCAAAAGAGAGATAGAGAGCAGAGGCGCACACATGCTTATTCAATAACGAACAGCATCGATTTTTCAAAACAAACCCAACCTTTTGTCTGCGCAGAGTTGTATTCAAAAATTATTTTGTACAGATTATGTTTCCATGAACAGCTGCAAACACAATTAAGGAAAATAATGTTAGCAAAATATTTCCAATATAACACTTTGCAACGCACTTGACTTTTCTGTGTATGTATGTATTTGTATACCATTTTCAACTGATAAGGAGCTCGAACGCATTTCAATGGGGCTGCACGATATTATACTTAGGTAAGATAATATTTTGTAACATTAAAAAAAGAGGAACACTTGCAACTTAATCGATTTGCCACACACAAATTTCTTTGGCACTTGCCTTAGATAGATTACTGTTAAAATGCACTACGCACTGGAAATTAAATTCTCAACACGCCAAGAGAGCCAACTATATTATATGGAGTGGGGGTTTGCTCATTGGGTTTGCGGGTGTGGTGAATTCCGCAGAATGCAGGTTTTACACTGTATACACTTATCGATTTATCAATAGGTAGCAAAGGCAATTAATTTTACATTTTAACTATAGTTTAGTCCACTTATTTGGCATAATATTAAACTATTTTTACATTTTACTATTTCCAAATGAAATTAATGAAACACAACGAGCGAACGAACGAACAAGCCCAACAAACGGGCGACGAGCAACCGTCGATGTGGGGCGCTGCTTTGTAACTCATGAAGGCTCTCGCACTCTCGCCTACTCTCGCTCCATGGCTCTCCATGGCGCTGCCACAACATAGGCAGCGACGTCGACGCCTCTCCAGTCGCATAAATTGACCAACATAAAAGCATAAGCAGAGTAACAGCCAAGCAGAAGAGAGTGCGAGAGAGCGACTTCTTAGTCACCCACTGAGAGGGAGTGCGTGCATTTAAAACAATGAAATTTGAGCACTTCGGATGACACACCACCAGAATACCTGATAAGCGAGGTACGCTCTACAGTGTAAAGCGTACTGGTAACACAATATCACAAGAGAGCAAATCAGAAATATGTTTATATAATTGCAATTATATGTGGTAATAAACATTTAAATAACACCATAAATATGTAAATAAAACTAATTAGAAATCTCGATTACAAAAAATAACTGCATTTCAATTTTAAATGTAAGTTTTAAGAAAAGTTTATACATTTAATTGGCTCTGATCGAGGGCAATATTAGCCTGACGAAATACTACCAATTGGCACAAAATGCCAAGCAATTCCAATGCGCAGGCCCATAACAAAAGAGCTTAGAATGATGACTTTGGTGTTGTGCTTGAAGTTAGGGGTGGCTTTGCACTAAAATCCAAGAATATAAATATACATTTGCATGTACTTATGTGTGTATCAATGTTCATGTTACAGCCACAGCAGGTAAGTAATCTCTACATTGATTGTTCCAATTGCAACTACAAGGTGGCGGTGTTTTTATTTATTTTATTTTTATTTTATGACACATAATCAGACTGCATGGCTACGGATAATAGTTGACACTCGAAACATACTATAATAATTATAGAACAAAGATAAGAGGGCTGCGATTCCATAAACTAAATAGAACATATTGCGGTGTTTATTTAGTTAAATAAGTCATTAAAATCCTCATACTGCGTTATGGGGTTCGGGTCTAAACAAAATTTTCCATACATGTTAAGGTACTAAATTATGATTGTACGTGTTCTACACTTAATAATAATAAACAGAAAAAAAAAGAAATCATTGAATTCATATTTGCAAGTTTAATAAAGTCTCGTCTGCTTAAATAATAACAAAATGCAGTTCTCTATGTAAATACATAACTTTATGTTTAATTAAATATAAAAGCAAAAAAAAAAAAAAAAAAAAAGAAATATGAACAATATTTGAAAAGGTGGAAAAACTTATTTGAAATATGTTGATTACTTCGAAAATGGAAAGAGATAAACAGAGACGTGATAAAAACAAATGTGACACCATAGCGCATGAGACACCGAAAGCAAAGACGTTGCCTGAACGAACAAACGAAACAAAGCGGAACGGAAGCTGAGCTCAAAGCAAACCGAATGCGGGAGCGAGTTAAATTAAATCACAGCAGCAGCTGCACCCCCCGACCCCCCCGACGCACAAATACTTGGTATAAGCCGTTAACACAAACAAATCGACAAGCAACTGGTATTTCTCTCATATGGTTTTAAGCAACTATTGAAAATAAGCAAAATTTGCAGCGCCCAATATGAAAGTTCAAATTGTATTTTGTAACTGAAGAAATAAAAATAATATTATAAAAAGCTTGCCTTAAATCAATTACCGCTGAAAATTTAGTAAATAACACACACATGCAAACATATACATGAACAATACAGAAATACAAAGGTGCCATCTGTACGTGTGCGCGCACATATATATATATATACAAAGGTGCACCTACAGGTTGATTGGATAAAATTACCTCTTTTGCATTGAATTGTATTAGGCAATTATCTCAACAATCATCTCGTGCGCTGCTGCTGCGTTCGCCAACGCCTTTGCCGTCCACCTTGTTGCAAATTCCACTCCACTCCTCTTGCAGTTTTCCAATGTGGAACGGTTCGTGTTTAGTTGTGGGTACACAACTTTCGTTGCCAAAATTACGTTTTTTGTTGAATTTGGTTTTTTCTAGTTTTTCTCTTTGCGTGCTTCTCCCGCTGTTCAATAATTTACTTTTGAATAAATACTTGAGTATGCGTTTGCAGTTATGTCAACTTTGACTGCTATTTAATCTTCGATTCGCTTCGTTTTGTGTTGTTGCAAAATTCGTTTATAAATTATGGACAATGGAATGAATATACACCCGCGCTTGATTCGTTTTACGTGTTTTCGATTTGACAATATGCCACACGCATAATTAAGCGATCGCAGAAAGAAAAGTCGTTTTATTGAATTTTGTCGTCAGTAATTTGGCGTGTTAATTTAATATTAATATGGAAACTTTCGACGTAGTGTTGGCTGTTTTTTCATTTTGTAGCAGCCAGTGTGCACACACTCCGCGAATGCCTAAAAGCAACTCTATTGGTAGCTGTTACCAAATAAGTGTGACCAGAGTACGACTTGTTCACAGACTTTCGATGTTTTTGATGCACGACTACCTTCAATACAGCCAACGGTCCGCCTAATTGCGTAGCAGTTGTATGTAACAGAACGCTAACTTTCGTTTTTCTTACGATGGCAAATGTAATCGATAACTTTTCGCGTAGCGGCAGGCAATTTGTTTATTCGAAGAATGAGCAATAATGTTTTATTAATTATATTAATAATAAGTTTAAGCAACTTAGGCAATGGGACACAGAAAATACAATGTGACGGCGCTGAACACACAACTTGTCGTGAAACCGATGGAATTGACCCAAATCAGGTCGCAAGTATGTAAACCAGCGCTACTTGAATTACAAAATTAATTTAAATCATTTCAATGTGTTTTAGAACATTCTAAAATTACTCAGAGCATACAAAATGCTTTAGCCAGCTATGAGCCATGCACTACTGATGTAAATGACGTTAATTGTACCTGCTACGCCGCGGGTATCAAACGCGACCTGGCGCTGTATAAATCAACAGGTGTCACCCGAAAAATGATTAACGACGCCGCGAAGTATGGCACGCGGTACAAAATCTATAATAAGCAGCTGTACCGTGATGACAATTGCATGTTCCCCGCACGCTGCCAGGGAATTGAGCACTTTCTTCTACAGTTGCTGGCCGAGCTACCCAACATGGACTTGGTGATCAACACACGAGACTATCCGCAACTGCATTCTGCTTGGAGACATGATGGGCCAGTTTTTTCCTTCTCAAAGACGAAAGAGTATCGGGACATTATGTACCCCGCCTGGACGTTTTGGGCAGGTGGACCTGCAACCAAATTGCATCCAACGGGCATCGGACGCTGGGACTTAATGCGTGCAAAGCTGGAGAAGCGCTCATCAAGTTTATCTTGGCACGATAAGCAAGAACTTGGCTTCTTTCGCGGCTCACGAACCTCGGATGAGCGCGATTCGTTGATATTGCTTTCGAGGCGTAAGCCACACCTTGTTGAAGCACAATACACTAAGAATCAGGCCTGGAAATCACCTAAAGATACTCTCGATGCACCACCGGCAAGTGAAGTGTCCTTCGAGGATCACTGCAAATACAAATACTTATTTAATTTTCGCGGTGTGGCTGCTAGTTTCCGTCTGAAACATCTTTTCATGTGCAAGTCACTTGTGTTTCATATAGGCGACGAGTGGCAAGAGTTTTTTTACCACCAACTGAAGCCGTGGGTCCATTACGTGCCACTGCATAGTTATCCCAGCCAGGAAGAATACGAAGAATTGCTAACCTACTTTAAAAACAATGATAGCCTGGCCCAGGAAATAGCTCAGCGTGGCTATGACTTCATTTCGCAGCATCTGCGTATGCAAGATGTCAAGTGCTATTGGCGCAAGCTGCTGAAACGCTACAAAAAACTGATTAAATACGATATAGAACCCGATGCTAAAATGCAACGTATAGGGGGTTTGAAGGATGAACTATAGTTAGATTATTAAGTCTTATCTTAATCTTTAATGTTAATTTTTGTAAGAATTACTGAACAATAAAAGAAATATTTCACGTTCGGCGTGCATGAAACATCTTTTATATAAGCTTCAGTCGTTTGTTATTTTGTTTTAATATAGCATTTTTTTTTAATTGCATTGTTCATTAATTACATTCGATAATGAACAAAATAACAAATGCATCAATTTTCTTATAGCTAAAATATCTCAGAATGAAGTAATAATACCATGATTCGACAAGTCAAATCAAATCCATAATAATTGATGGAGGAACGTCTTAAAGATAAATACGAAATATGGAACGCTGGGTGACTTTCTTGTTACATAGAGGACACTTGTGAGTTGACTGTACGGCAGTTAGGATGCAGTTTTTACAAAATATGTGACCGCAGCGAGTCGAAGAAGGTTCACGCTTACGCACGCTGTCCAAGCAAACCGGGCATTTATACGATTCATCGCATGGCTCAGTTTTCTCAACATGCCTTTGCTTCGGCGGAGAGACACCAACTCTAACGTCCTCGACAACTACGGGCTGGTCGCTGGACGTATTTAATAGCCGACGTCGGCTGACACACGATTGTGGTTCATTAGAATCCGCTAGATTAATGTACGTTGGAAGTTGGCGTCTTGGCTCTGGTGAGCATAGATCTATGATAGCATCTGGAGCAAGACTTCTTGCAGATCGGGGAATCGGATTGAATTCAATGTTTGACAGATCAATTAAGTCTACGGGTTGGTCTGTAATTAGATGAAATTAGTTCCCGGTTAATTCCTAGTCTTGAATCAATTAGACTTACTGCTGGTTTCGGGTATACTATTCCTGCGACCAATTATGTTTCTTTGTACTGAATTGTTGCCCTCGGGTCCCAAGCCAGCTTCAGCTAAATTATTTTCAACGTCCTCACAGAAAAGTCGTACTAAAATATTTGGAAAGGTATTTCATGTAAATGTGTAATTATGAATATATTTACTGCTGGCTATTTCGGCTTCTATGAGCTCATTGCGCAGCGATTCTTCCAGCGCGAGCTGCCAACCGTCATCTGTTAAATCCAATGTTGGAGGAGAAGAATCTCTGAATGGTGGTCGGTCAGCATTGAAACTAGAGGGCGAAATGTCCGTGGTCACATTAGGTTCGCTAATATTGTCAGAGCTTGAGTTTTCCATTTGCCCGTAGATGGGAGAATGAGAGCTAACTATGGAATCGTTAGCAGTTGTCTGTAAATGGTGCACAATATTATTGAGGGCTCTATTTCAAGCAAATTGAACAAACCTACCGGTGACGGGACTGACTCCGAAAGAGAAATATTCCAAACACCTGACATTTTCTGTAAGCAAGACTTGCAAATTATATCAAATCTGTAGCATTTCAGGCGGCTATAGCAAAATAAATGTTATCGAAAAGCAGCTGTTCGACACCTATCGCATCTCCGGCAAGTAGAAAGTGTTGTAAAACGAAACGACAATTGGCACTTATCGATATGCCACACGTCACGTCAAAACAAGAGAAAGACAATTGCAATCATGGACAAGGATAAATACACGCTTCAGTCTATTCGGCAAGATCTGATTGATAACAATCTGCAAGCCAAGGCCATTATACAGGTAAATTATAAGTTCAAGCTAAACATATTCTTGTACGAATCCCCAATTTTTAGGATATCCTTAACAGCAGATCTTCTATCGGCGAACTGGAGGAGCTCAACGAAGCGGGACGTGCCAAATTGTCTGCGATTCGCAAAAACATTGAACGGCTGGACGATTGGGCACGGGACATGGCCGATCCCTCGTTGGCCATAGAGGTGGACACGCATCGCGAGCAATTTTCCAAAACTTTACAAGCATTCCGCAAGGCCAACGTCTCCACAATGCTGGAAATCGAGAAAGCCAACCGTGAAGAGCTCATGGCCATCACGGGAGAAAGTGATCTGAGACAGCGCACAACGGCAGGGGCGCGGCACAACCGGGGCAGTCTTGTATCGCAGGAGAACGACGTCACCGAGAAAATGCTGGCCATATCGCGGCATCTGTCGGAGACAACACAGAAGAGTGCGGTTACTCTGGAGACCCTCGTTGCTTCCTCCCAGAACGTGGAGGCCACCAACGATGAGCTACACAATACGGCTGGGAGTATCACACAGTCGGGCAAGCTGTTAAAGAAATATGGACGGCGCGAGTGTACCGATAAGATGTTGCTGTTCTTCGCCTTTTGCCTGTTTCTTGCCTGTGTCTTTTACATTGTGCAAAAGCGACTATTTTAGATTATTAACAAGATCTGCTTTGCAGCCACGTGCAGACAACTTTCAAGTAATTTATTAATGTAGTTGGTATAGGAAGTTTTCGTTATGTGTAAAATGCTTCGCTAATTTAAGAATTATTGTACAGGCACATATTTAAACGCAATAGGAAAACATATTTATTTAAAGCGATACTTTTTTTAATAATTACAAATGTTGTTAGATTATGCTAATAGGGACATCGAGGAACACCGCTGGGATTTGTGAAACCATTCGTGTTAACCATGCGGCAAATGTCCTTATAGGAACGCTGATGCTCATGTGATCTGGGTCTCGATCTTTGAGGCTGTCCATAACGTTGGTCGTAATAGCCTTGATATGACCCACCTTGATATGCTGCTGGATAATAATACCCGCCTCTCGGTTCACTTTGAAATAGTTGATCAAACACGGTTTTACCGCTGATAGAAGCCATCGTACATAGCATGATAACAATATATGAAAATAAAATATACATTTTCTATTTTTACACGATACGGGAAATAAAAAGATCTGACTTTGAATGAGACGATTTCAAAACATGTTGTGCTACTTATGAGATTTTTGTAACCTTGCGCTATTTTGAAAAATATTGCTGTCGCGAGCTACAACTGATAACAACTGATTTAAAAGTGAAATTGAGTAAACTTGACGTTATTCAACACTGCGTGCCGGTATGCAACAGCTGACAGCACTGTCCCGAGTTTGAGTTTCGTTTGTTTTAGTTTATAAAATTGGCGGAATATATAAAACTACGCATAACATGAATCGCACCGAGCAGACGTTTGAGGATCTCAAGTCGTACTTTAGATCCCACAGTAAAATACGTGAGCAGCGGCCACACATGTCAAAGGTGGGTATAAAACCATTTAGTCTGTCGGTGGCATTTAATTGGTTTTCTTTTCGTAGGTGCATTCGGTGTGCTGGAACGCAAATGGCTGTCACTTGGCTTCCGGATCATTTGACAAAACTGTCGCTGTTTATGCCTTGGAGCGCGATCGCTTTGTCAAGAGCAACGTCTTTCGCGGCCACACTGCGTCCGTGGACCAATTGTGTTGGCACAAAACGAATCCGGACCAGTTCAGCACGGCCAGCGGCGACAAGACTGTGCGCATTTGGGACATACGGGTTGGCAAATGTGTTTCAGTTACCAACACCAAGGGCGAAAACATAAATATCGCCTGGTCACCGGACGGTAAGACAATTGCTGTGGGCAACAAGGAGGATTTGATAACATTCATAGACACGCGCACAAACAAAATACGTGTGGAGGAGCCCTTTAGCTTTGAGGTCAATGAGATATCGTGGAACAACACGAACGATTTATTCTTTCTGACTAATGGCATGGGCTGCATGCACGTACTTAACTATCCCAGCCTAGAGCACCAGATGACGCTAAAGGCACATCCTGCCAATTGTATATGTATTGAATTCGGACCGACAGGTAGGTGGAGGGTGTTTAAAAAGAAACTTTGTAAAATGCTCTTGATCACAGGCAAATACTTTGCGACGGGATCGGCAGATGCGCAGGTTTCGCTCTGGGATGCCAACGAATTGGCCTGCCTGCGCATGATTAGCCGCTTGGAGTGGCCCGTGCGTACCATATCTTTTAGCCATGATGAGCGACTCATAGCCTCCGCCAGCGAGGATCTAGTCATAGACATTGCCTACACAGAGACGGGCGAGCGAGTCACCGACATTCATGTGGACGCGTCCACCTTCACGGTAGCATGGCATCCCAAGCAGTATTTGCTGGCCTATGCCTGTGACGAAAAGGAAACTATTGGTGATAGGCGTCGTGATGTTGGTAACGTGAAGATCTATGGATTTCCCGAGTAGCTCCGGATTTCAAATAATACAACTATATAAATTGTTTTTTGACTAGTAACAATTCATTCAATTTGCGCATATTCAACAGATTCATTTAGATATTAATGACTGTCTAAAACATTGAACGCATTTAACAACCATCATCTTCTTGATTGTTTATATTAAGCAAATAATGTAGGTAAAATAAAAATGTAATATATCTTTCTGAATTTAAATTTTTTTAATTTAATATTAGTTATCGATAAAGTAAGCGATGAGAATTTTATATTGTACGGATATCATACAAAATATGTTTTGATATCCACTGTCCAAATAATAGTATAATAACGTCTACAAACAAAATAGGATAAAAGCCATAAATAATTTAAACTAACACTTCTGCTGACGGGGTCGATAATAGGAAAAATATAAATGCCAATTGGCAACACGGAAATTAACCGAGTAATACTAATTAAACGAATGAAAGTCGAAAACTGCGTTTTAGTTACCTGACTTAGGTTGAGTTGGACTAGGCCTGACAATAGATTTTAGTTAAATAATTTATGTTAATGGTAGTCAAGGTCCAGATTAAGCGTTACCACCATCATCCAAGCATTTTCTCACACAAACAGAATGCAAAACATTTGCAATCAGTCACCGACTCGACCAAAGGCAACCGCCACCTAGGCAACATCCACCACAAAGCCAAACCGCAACAGAGCAAAAGTTCGCTAAGGTCGGGCATCTAATTAAAAAGCATTGCAATTTGCAAAAGTTCGACCAACTTTGCAACTGCTCTTTCACTTATATTACTTTGTTCTTGTCCCTAAGATGGATGGATTATGCATTATGAAAATAAATATGAGGCAAGGCATATATTATCATCAATATACATTTGATATGCTACGAACTGGTATATAGTCTTAAAGTCCTTTAGCTTTGCCATCTTTTTTTGTTTCTCATTATGCATTTGCAATTAATTAGCTGTTTAGGCGGAATTAGCTGTGAATTAATTACTTATAATTAATTAAATGTTTTAACACTATTTCTATCAAGATATTATGTATACATATTTCAACCAAAAAAAATCTACATTTCTTGTACAAAAAAGGCCTCGTCGGATATACTTAGCTGTGGAATTTAATTAGCTTGCAGTCGAGTCGGGGCTGCCAAAAATCGGCAGTCGTCAATTTTATAGGCGCCTTCAATCCACTTTATAAGCCATTCGACAGCGATAAAGTCTGAAGTGAGTGGCCTTTAATATAAAATTAAATTTGAATAAATGGAGTCGAGGACGTAAAAGCGAAAAGAGCAAGCTGCCGGCGGCACACGTTTCGCATCCGATTTGATTAGTTTGCAGGGCAGTATTTGAACGCCCTTCCTCCTGGACCAACAAGCTCACGCTCAGCACTTAGCCAAAATTTAATATGCCACAATCTTTGACAGCAACAAAATGGAAGCGCACAATACACAGTAGGAGGCAACAGGAGCTACCCGAAGGTGTTGATACTTTAAGTTAAAATGCGACACGAAAGAGATTTAATTTATTCAAGCCCCGTTGGAAGAGAAGAGGCAGTGATTAAAAATTCAACAAACTGCACTCCGATCCTTTTGCACTCAAGTTTCCCACCCTTTATCCTGCCACAAGCTGAGCCAAATTATGCAAATGCTGTCGCCAGCCAAACAGGAGGCAGACAAACGGTGACAATCTACAAATTGGCAGTTTGTCTGGCCGCACACGTGGAATTCATTTGACCAATTAACTGCCAACCTGGCCAAAACTTTAGTATCTGTAATTTCGAGCTGTTTTTTAAATTAGCATAATATTAAGTTTTTCTTATTCATATATAAATTACATATGTATATTAAACTATGCAATTGTAATTCTTCAAATTTAAATATCCCATTAAGTAAATAAATTGGCAAAAAATATAGCACATCAAGCCAACAAATATTCTTGATTGTTAGCTGAAATCATTTAGGATTCTATCTAGATGAATTTTTGGGTAAACACTTGTCAAGATTTTGCCACGAGGCATTTTCGTAGGCTATTTCTGAGACCTTTATGAAAATGTTATTTGTTTTTGTGTGTTTGTCGGGTTATATTATCGCACACATAGTCTGATTATAATGTGACGATGGTTGCCACAAAATAATATCAGCATTTTCTCATTTCTAAACATAAAATTTGCTTACAACTGTTAAATACGCACCTGGCACATTGCGAAGCGAAAATGTCGACCCTGACCCTGGACTCCCGCTCAAAAGATTCCGTATTAAATTGAACTTTACATTGGCCCTAAAGTTTAAGTTCCATTTAGACAACGACTACTGAAACCTTGAGGAAATTTGGCCTGCTGTCAGCAGCGAACTTAATAAAATGACAGACTTATTATATTTGTGGATGTAAGGTGATGAGGATATTACCTGTGGCGGACTAGATGTGGCGACAAGTCCAGCTAGGTTAACTAAAATAAATTTTGGCAATAAGAGCTTGTATAAATACAAAACACAAAAATTTCTGAAATCCGATTTACCTGATTTATGTGCAGGGTTAATTCGAACATAAAGATAAGGCACAACATGGGGAGCTACGATAGACACAGATACGAGTACTTCAGCACGCTCTGCTCCACACGTGCTCCCTGCCCCTGATCCCTGCCCCTGCTCTCTGCTCCTTGCTCTCTGCCCTTGCTGACACCTGTGCAAAAAAGTTTTCTATTTACAGCCCATCAAGGTGGCTTTATTTTCGTGAGTTTTTGTGCTTCCCACCTCAGATTAATTTTTTGTACAGAGGAGACCTTTGTCTATTTACTTCACATTTGTTGGTTGGAATATTTTATACTTTCGCCTTTAACAATGTATATCATTTTTTGCAAGTCGGCTTACAGCTTTACATTTTACTGCATTGACAAAAAGTTCTTCTTATGTGAAGCTTTGGCAATGCTGCAAAGGCGAAAATATGTACCATTGTTTTCTGTTGCCATGCCGAATAAGGCCGTCTTTGTTTGCGAATCATTTTTTCAACGACCTTCGCAACTATTTTTCATTTCACACTTAAATTTTCAGAGACGGCTTTAACCAGTTGGTTGCTTCGTTGCCTCGTTTAGTCCCTAAAAATCGTGTGGCCCACAAAATAAACAACCTTTGGATTGGGTGGCTTATGTACGATGTTGTGGATTGTGCCCGAATGTGGAGCACATTCTTGTCGACCATCTAAAAAAAATATGTAGAAAATTAATCTGCTGGGTTTCCAAGTGTACTCAAGGGACTTACACATTTGCTTGTCATTTGACAGTTTGCACTTCATTTGGCCCCGGCTGCCTCCAGCGAATTTGCAGCAAGTTATTTTCACATCTGTTTCTTCCTTTGTCAGAGCCCTGTTAATGCCCCAAATATAGTGACAATAGTGAAAGGCTCAAGTTGCAATTGATTTTCCGCTTAGGAGGACAATTTTCTTTCGAATTTATAGATTTCTTCCCATCTAAGTTGATTAGCTTTTGTTATTATTTTTTGCCTTTATTCAGACAAATTCCTTATTGTTATTATTGTTGTTTGTTTTCTGTTGGCTGAAATAAATAATTTTAAATCCCTTAGCTTAGTTTTTGGAAGTTTAATTAATTTCACAGATTTACATTTCACTCCTATTTGGTTATTACACATTTAATTATCAGATTTCGAAAAATCCACATAGTTCAGTAAGGAAAAATTTGAATTTCTCACGTTCGTGAAACATACCCTGTCTAAAGCTGAGTAATGGCTTTCAGTGTAATTTGAAGGTAGAGATTTATATTCTAATAAGCAATTACTAAAGACAATTTAAAAAAAATAATTTTCTTATATTTTCTAACTTTTTAAGGTTCATGGGAGATTGTAACGTGATTTTTTTAGCGTTATTTTGGCGATCTTATCGTACTATTGTAATACCAATGCAAAATGTAATTTCAAACTTGACTAATCGATTTCGAAAAATCCACTCAGCTGAGTGGAAATGAGAATTAAAGGAAGGAAGGGATCAGTGTAATATAAAAGTAGCTTTGAACACATTTGCTGTCGTTTCTGTTGTCAGTTGGTCAGTTCGTAGAATCAATGTTGTGACCCGCAACCGTAATACGGTTTTACTGCCAGTGGCGAGAAGCCCAACCCACGCAAACACAGAGATTGACTTTCTAACACGAAACTTTGCCATTCTGTCTGAAACGCTTTTAATCTAACAACAAAGTTACTAAGAACTTGCCAACCTGAGGTTAAATTTCGTGAAACGTTTTGCAATTTAGAGCTTAACAAATTTACGTTGTCCTCGAAAGCAGAAACATAAAGGTATCTTCTAAGCTTGATATTAAATGGGATCAAATTTCATTTTGTCGTGATACCTTAACATTGAAAGTACATCTTTGTGAAATAAAATCCTTATAGGTATAAGCAAACTGAGACAAATCAGCTTAGCTCAAATAAAGGCCAATAAGAAAATCTTAAGTGTTCGATAAATCTCTTTGCTACGTTTTAACTTAATTTTCAGCTTAGCTTCATTCGGGCATAAAAAGCTGTTTAATAATTCGGAGCCTAAAACGGGTCGTAAGAAGTTGAATTCATTAATTGCCAAAAGCTGCAAAAAACAACGCCTCGACTGTCAAAGAGAAATATGTAACAGGCCTTTTTTACTCCCAGTAAAAATTAATTAGCGTTTCGAGCCGGAAATGTTGGCCTTAATTATGACGCCGAGACAAAAGTCTAGGCCAAAAAATCAATAAACAGTTAAGCTTTCGTGGCAGACCCGAAAAGTGTACAAGGCCTGTTTAAAACACAGTCAAGCCTAACGTACCTGTCCAAGAAATCCAAAATCTTATCTTTCGCAGAACATTTTCTTTCTGCCAGTCGATGCACAATGCTTATTGCAAAATATTCAGCGTAGAATAAATTATTTTTCTTATTATTATTCCTGGCAAAACAATTAAAAGTCTGAAAATAGCAATATTAGAATATTTAAGCTGAGCACAGGGAGCTCTGCAAAACCACTTAAAAGTCACGAAAATATTATAATTCTCGTGGGGCTTGTCGGAGATGAGAGCTCTTGACTTCTGGTGACTGGGACAAACGTCTTTGCTAAGCTGAATGACTTTTGAATATTAAATTACTATTTATGTACACAAAATATATGCCTTGTATAAGGGCAGACAATTTTGAATGCCTTTACATTCCCAGAATTGGCTATCATAAAAATTGTCCACAC